TCTCTTTTAAGTTTATTCCCAACATACACATCAGTATGTGCTATTCTCAGTATACACTTGAAAATATCATTCGCCCTATTCAAAACCCTCCAAGGACTTCCTGTCACCTACAGAAGTGGTTTTCAAACTTTGTTTTAACACTTGTAGATTTTAAAAGAAAAATGTCACGTAGAGTTTAATATACAAACATGTGTTTTTAGTGATTTTAATTTTAAAACTTGAACTCTTGGTTATATAGAAAAGCAATGCAATTCCTGGCAAGCAGGATAAAAATCAAACACTATCCAGCATTAGTGTAGGTCTTTCCTTGTTGCTGAGTACTTTATATGCTTTTTTTTTTTGATCCTGACATGAACTTTTTGAGTTGAGAAGGGTAAGTATATTTATATCTCAACTTTATGGGTGGTGATACAAAGATTGAGAGATTAATGGCTTAATCAAGGTTGTCTGGCAATGTTAGAGTATTTTAATAAGAAAAGAGTCTCAAGTCTTAAAAGGCTCACCATATAGTGATAAAAACAGAAACATAACAAAAATATAATAAATAATAGGAAAAGCAAATATAAAGTGGTAGGGGAACACTGACAAGAGAATTATGAACTCTGATGGGTTGGTGACGATCGAGGAAAGCAGTTGTTGAAAGAAGCGTGATGAACAGATGAAGGAAAAACATTTCAGGCAGAAGAAGAAATGGCATACATAAGAGGACAGAGATAGAAAAAGGTTGCATGTATTCAAGGTTTGGTAAGTAGACTGCTCTGACATAGCAGTGGCTATATGGAAATAGTGCAAAGAAGTTTATGGGAAAGAAAGAACTGTTTGAAGTTGGGACTTGTTTGTGGAATATACTAATGAGTTTTGGCTTTGGTCTGTAGACAGTAAGGACTGTGGTTTGGGTGAAAGTAATTAGTACAATGGCAATGAATAAGAACTTGCAGAGGATTGTCTCAACACTGTAGAAAGAAACTGGCTAGTGTAGTATCAAGGGTGGATTCTGTGTATCAAGGGTGAGAGAAATTGGAGTCAAGAATGGCATAAAATTTCACATTTGGGAAAACATAGGTATTACACGATCATCCAAAATAAGAAATGAAGGTGACAGTGGGGAAACACAGGCTCATGATTTGGAACATAAGTTGATGTGTCTGAAGGATCTTGTAGACAAACAAAAATGGTAAACTAAAAGCAGAAACTAAGCCTAGAGATATTGGGGAACTATTGGTCTGAAGTTGGTAGTTGAAGCCAGAAAAGTAGACAAAACCACCTAGGGAGTCTGTGAAAAGGAGAAGACTGTGGGTAGACCACTTAGAAACAATAAGGGTTCAAAGTAGGGAAAAAAAAATCCAGTTACAGGTAGAAAATAACATATAGAGAACCAGCAGAGTCTAATCACGGACTTAAGACAAGAGAGTTAAAAGAAGGAAGGTGTGCTAAACGTTGTCACATGTTACAGGAAGGACAGGTAGTTTAGGGGCTGGGGAGGTAAACTGAATTTTAAACTGGATCCTGGATAAACTTTTCTTATCAATATCCCTTCTTCTGTAGTCTTACTAAGTTCTCCATGTGGCAGACATACAGTATGAAGTTTTCCATATCTTGACTTAACTCCATTTCAGTCTATCTATCAGTGAGTCATTCTCAACAAAAGTGCTTTCTCAGTGCTTAATTGTGCTTTGCCTCCCTTTCTTCATCAGCAGATGGGAGCCATTATTAAACAGCCATTCCTCATACTTAATGTGATAGTGGTGAAGAGCTTCCAAAAGCATATATACTTTTTAATCTTTTCATGATTTTTATGTCAGGATATATACCTGTGTGTAGGTAATGATTATTATATTCACATATACATGAAAAAAATGGTGGTGCCAGTATTTTCAGAGACAGTGATGTTTGATCTGTTATGTGTCCAAATCCTATTAGATTCAACTTCCTGAGATTAAGGACTGTATCCTGCATTTAGTGAAGCACTTGGCATATAGTAAGTGTTAAATGCGTATTTTTTTTTTAATGACTAAAAAAGGGGTGCTGTAAACGAAGAATGGCATGGCAAGGGAGATGAATGAGTAAGATAAAGGAGGGGATTACAGTGGAGAATAAGACACATATGGATCATTTAAATTAATGTTCTGCTTTTGAATAATTGAAAGTTCAATAAAAACCTCATTAATTGTAACACCTAATTTATATTCTTATGGGATCATTCAATTTGAGGCTGACTGATATTTCACCTTTGCACTATTTATTAAGTTTTGTTTAGCTAAGTATACTAATAAGATGAAATTATTTCAAGGAGATTATTTATAATTACTCATAGGGTAAACTTCTGAAGGACTTCAAACTTACTTATTACATGAAAATAAGTGCCACAAATTGTCCATGCCATACTTTCACTAAAGTTAATTTAAAGATATCTCTATGCAAATTGTGTACTGTTTCTCCTAGAATCATACAGACTGGATTTCCTTTAGTTCAGCATCCTACCATCATCACCACCCTATCAATATTATGATGTTTACTGTTTTTAGCAACATCATCAATGCCATTAACACAGTGTCTCCTACGTGGCCGGCACTGGACAGTTCACAGCACCTCAGTGACATATGTTATTATCCAAGTTTCTTAGATGCTATAACTAATCCTTTGGAGACTAAGTCGCTTAAGATGGCACAATTAAGTGACAAAACCAAAATTCTAACTTACTTATATGTTGACTGCCTAAAATATCTCAAAAAAAAAAAACCTGTTGATAAACAAAATCAGTGGTATCAAACCTGTTAAAGAACAGTACCACCTTGACTGAGTGTATTATTTTCTGAGGGCTGCCATAACAAAGTAGCACAGGATGAATGACTTAAAGAACAGATACATCATGTTAACAGTTCAAGATTTTATCCATGTTGGTTCCTTTTGAGGCTTGTGACAGAGAATCAGTTCCAAGCCTCTTACTTTGCTTCTGGTGGTCTTCAGGCAATCCTTGGAGTTCCTTAGCTTGTAGACACATCACTCCAGTCTCTGCCTTCATGTTCCCGTGGGTTTCTCTCTGTGTGCAAATTTGTCTCTGATTTCCTCTTTTTATAAGGACACTAGGCATATTGTACCAGGGACTCACTCTGCTCCAGTGTGACCTCATTCTAACTTAGACCTCGTATATGTAATGACCTCTTTCCAAATAAGATCACATTCTGAGGTACTGAAGGTTAGGACTTCAATGTATGAATTATTCAAACCATAGCACTGTGTCTTAGTATTATCTCAAAATGGGGGAAAATTGGGAAAGGACATGTATGGTATTTTATGCCTCGGTTGTATGGTTTTATGGCAGATCTTAAAAAGTGGAGTAATGGTTGGGACTGGACAGAGTTTCTGACAAATTAGTTTTAGATTGGCAGGCAAAATGAGAAGAGAAACATAAACAAGTTTTGATTAATAAGCTGTTAGTCTTGCTAGGTAAGCTGTTTGGTTGATTCATGGTCTTATTATCCAAAAGTGCATATATGCTAGAGCAAACAGCTAAATTATTTTTTTTATCACAGTATTGTTCAAAATAGGGAGTGGAGAGTATGCTTGATCACAGAATTACTCAATATATAGGGAATTGCAATTATGTTGGTTTCAGTTCTCATCTGTATGACTTCTGAGTCTATCAACTACATCATTCTAACTTTCTTTCCCACTACTGATACATTCCAAAGTAGTCTGTTCTGCTTTTGGATTGCTCTGATAAATAGTTCTAATAGAATTCAAATTAAATTTGTTACCTCGTGTGCTCATTGTCAGCGTAGACTGGCTTGAATGACACATGATAGTTTCCATGATAGTTTTCAGAAAGATTATGTATCTGTCATCTGCATGCATACATATATCCTATCCCAAGTCTTATATTTTCTAGATAAATAATTCTAGCTGCTTCAGGTTTTCAAACAAAAGTTCCTTGTTAAGTAATTACTTCCTAAGATGCTTGTACTGTTGGTAGCTGTGAGAGCATTGTTATAGGTAGTGTCTTATTAGTCCATTCGAGCTGCCGTAACAAAGTATCACAGACTGAGTGGCTTATAAACAGCAGAAATTTATTTCATAAGTTCTGGAAGCTGGAAATCCAAGACAGGGTGCCATCATGGTCAGGTGAGGGTCCTCCTTCAGGCTGCAGAATTCTTGTTATATCCTCACATAAGGAACTAGGGAGCTCTGTGAGGTTTTTTTTTTTTTATAAGGGCCCTGATTCCAATGGTGAAAACAGAGCCCTCATAACCTAGTCACATCCCAAAGTCCCCGTCTCCTGATACCATTGCTTTGGAGATTAGGATTTCAGCATATGAATTGTGGGGTTGGAGCAGGGCATAAATATTCAGACCATGGCAGATAGTTAGTTATCAACATCCTGTGTCTTCTTGCATCCTGAAATCTATCTACTCCTGCAAGTACAAAATGTATTACAGTATCTCGATTCACTTCAATCATCTTAACATTAAGGTTCTGATGATGCAATATGTTACCACTTTATTGGCAGCAGGTAAAGTCACGAGGTCATTCTACCCCAAATATATCTTACTATTGTTTTGAAGTAAGTTTTGCAGTGTTCAAAATACCATGTACCCTGTCGCCTAGGTTTTTTTAAATCAAAAACATTCCTTTCTACAGCCTAGTAGCATATAATTTAATATATGAAATAGAGAAAGGGTTTCAGATACAGGTTTTATAGCCAAGGTATCTTACTCTACAGTAAGTTGGCATTTGGAAAAAGGGGGAAGGGACTGCAAATAATCATATCTTCTGAGTAAGAAAACATTCTTTTGTAAGTGCAAATAATGTTGTTACAGAATTCTGCTCATTTTTATTTATATTTTGTGATTGGTTAACTAAATCAGTCGAATGAAGTCCAACAATCAAAGAAACCTTAGAGCAATTTAGAGTCCTTCTGAATCTTTAAAGAAAATCCAATAAACACTTGAAAAATAAAATCAATGAAGAGTTTAAGTTGTTTATTTTCTGGTTTTCCACAGGGTCCAAGTTTTCTCTCTGAGGCCCTTTTCCCTAAACATGCAACGAAAATTGAAGAAATGGATCCTTTTTTCAACCTTCATGAGACCATTACCAAGGTAGGAGAGAAATACTTTCATGAAAATGTTGAGAAAGTTTTGTTCTTTTTGTTAGTAGATGGAAGAAAGGAAAAGAACCATCAAGAAAAATATATATATTTATTTGTAGAATGTGCTAGGAAGGATTCTAAGTATCTCCTATTATTTCACTAAGGAGTAAAGATGATAAGCAACTCGATTAAGATCATACAGACCGATAATTGATGATTTGTCTTCAAAATCAATTCTTAATAAAATCCTTAATCTGAAAGTAGACTTGCGGTATATTCTCAAGTGTACCCCCTTCACTTTAGGTTAAGGGCAATACAAAATGAGTCTTTGAATTTCTATATCTTGAAAATTTTGTTGCAGTATATAAGGTACTTGGTTGTCTATGGGACTTTTTTATTGCAGTAAAAAAAAGGGGGGGGCTTTTTTTTTAAAGAAAAAGACTGAACTTACAACAATTGTTTTTACTCAATAATGCTCATACCTACTTTTACTGTAGATTCTTGGCTGTGAGTTTATGGAATGAAGAAAATTAAATTCTAGAGTTCGGAGCAAATAAGTTTTATGTTCTGATATCATATGACATCATATGAATTTTTACATTGACCAACTATTGGTTTAATGACTCATAACCTGCCTTTTGGGGATAGAGTTTGCAGAGAATATTGGCATGTCAGTACCCTTAAAGAATCCATATTTATGTATGCTTAGTTGAAAGACTGAATCATTCTTAACTCTTCCTAGTGAAATTTTTCAAGGCTGTTCTTCTGCTTTAGAACGAGGAATTGTGGTATAATAACTGAAGTCAACGAGTGGTAATAGAATGAGCTCAAAATATAAAAACTAAAATTCTAGGTCTACCCTCGCATTTAAGAGCTGTGTGAATTTTTCCTTAACTTTTAAAATCAGAAGAGTTTGGACCATATTTTACTTAAAATTCTCCTGAGCCACAATTTCTGAATTGTAACTATATTTATAACTTTTTTTTTCTTTCCAGTCTATTCTAGTTCCTTGATTTAGTTTTGAATATATCCATCCTGTGATCATTCATTATTAGCAAGATAAATGTGGCCCCCACTCCCAAATAATAACTCCATAACATTCAATACCTTAAGTATATTCTTAGTATGTGGAGAGAAGATAGATAGATAAATAGATTGGATAGATAGGAAGAAAGAGATACCTATATACGTCCATATCTTTTTGAGTATGTATCTATAATTTGGATGAGTGTGTGTATATATATGTACATGTATGTATAAATGTATATATATTCAAATATTATGGATACTTAGTCTAGATTTATTTACTTATTTTTAAGTAAAGCATTAGGGCATTTTTAGGGCAATGAAATCATAATGTTTTCTCCAATTTTCCTGCTTTCCTCTGGATCAGGAAATTCATGGGTTTTTTTGGTGGAAGGGGCAATTTGAGACCATATTGATATCAGATATATAATGAGATGAAGTCCCCAGCCAAAGAAAATTCTAAGGTTTTAATTTTAGAGGTATAAAAACACACCAATTCTTGCTGCATGAGGTCTTGGCCACACTACAACTCCTGAGAGAATGTTGGGAAGCAAGGATGGATAGGTTAGAAAGGGTATAGGGGAGCAGAGAACACAACCTAAACTTATATATGAGGTCTGTACTTAGTGTGAAACACCAAGAGAATAAAAGAGCATTTCATAGAAGGCACACATTTGTGCACAGATATTGTTACATGTTCTATGTATATTTTCAACTGTATTTCTTGTATAAATAGATGTTTAACCTATTAAGTGGATGGTGGAAAGAATTCTATATCTATGAAATAACACTTAAAGTACAGAAGCAAGTGTTCTGTGACTTTTTTGTTGACCACATATATTTACCTATGTCGATACTGTTTCCCCAGTCATCATTTTACCTGTGGTAACCAGTCATGTTGCAGACATAGGCCAAGGGAGGAAACTGTGCTTCAGAATTTCAGTCTTATTCCACCAGTATAAAAACTTGCAGAGCCATAAGAAGAAGTATTTAATAGATACTTTGTTTTAAAATCAGATTTTCTTTGATCAACAACATAATAAAAGTATAAATACAGAGGGCTTGAGTAGAGCATGTACTAGGAAATATGGATTTTGATTCTATCTTGGCTACCAACTTGTTATGTTATTTGGTAGAACTTTTATTTTCTACATCAAGAAGGGCTACACTAGTAATGGCTTTTCTCACTAGGATTCTCTGAGGTTGGAAAGATAATGTGTACATTTTCTCTGGAAATGCAGTATGTATGTAATTGAGTATAATTATTAACACATTAAAAAAATACTAGTGCTAATGTCTTCAAAGTAGACCCTGACCTACATAGTCTAAATTTAGCTTTACTTTAAAGATAAAAGGGGAAAAAATCACTTAGATATGAAAGCATATAACTAAACTAATTAAATGCTGAGAGTATACTGACAAGTTAATGTGTACAAATGGAATATAAAATTGGTGAAGAATTTTAGAATATTTTGTTTCAGTAAGGATAATAGTGGTTATCACAGTACATCACGTGTTTGGTATACTTCTAGTCCACACAGTAGTGTGAGATTATAGAAATAGCACTGGATTTTAAATAAAAAGACATAGCTAGGTATAAATTCTGTCACTGTTAGCTATGAAAAAATGGTATGAAATATGAGGAACACTTTGTAAAATGATAAAGCATTATTTTCATTGATATATCAATACTGAAAACTTTTTCAACAGTTCAGAAGCAATTGAAATATTGAAGGTGTTATTTCTTATTTCTCCCAGTAAAAGTTTAAATTTGATAAACAACACAATAACACAATCACATATTTGATGTTTTCTAACTAAATACAATAAATACATACATCTTATACAAACTTTGTAAAAATATGATTATTCTTTTCAAGTTAATAACTTTATTTTAGACCTTTGTGGTAGGTCACAAATATAATTCATGTCCAATTACATTACAATTTATATATATGAAAAAGTTAAGAATTTATCTTGGTGCTTTTCTGAATTCAAAAGAAATTAAAAAATAAACCATTCTCATACATGGGATGTGAGATGTGAATCCTAGCAAGTATTTTTTCAGTGTTGTCTTGTAGTTCTTTTTTTTTTTTTTAATATTTTACAGAGTTTGAATTTATCTTGGCATTTGTCTTTTTGATATAAAGCATGAGACCTAAGAAAATAATGAATGAGGCTCAATATTGCTGCCAAAAGGTATAATTCATCATGGCTTGAATGACAGTCAGGTGGTACAGTACAAAATTGCCGAAGGGCGACACATTACATCGATGTTGAAGATGTCTTCTTATCCTCTATAATTACTGTAAAAAATAGCATTTGTTTTTTAAAATAATCATAGAAGCCAAACTAATTCTTCCAAAGATTGAATATGAGTGACATACCAATATAAACCTTAGCTGCTTAATCCTTTAATAAATGAATTAAAATCACTGTGGTTTTATGTTTTGAAAAAGGCTTATTTCTCCTGTGTGTAGGAATTTTCTAGTTATATTTCTAAATCTTCAACATTTAGCTCATAAATTGTTATTAGTTATCTAAGCATTCTTGTAGTATACTACTGTAATCCAAGGATGAAGCAAAATACTTGAAATACAGAACAGTTAATACATAGGAGTGGGTTCAAGGGAGTAAACAGATATGCAAATTATTTCAGTATAACACAGTAAAAGAAGTGATGGTAATATAGACAAGGTTTGGGAGGGAAGAAGACGGAACTTTTACCTCTGACTAAGAGACCTGAAGAATTCACCAGAGAGGTGAATTCTTTGAAGAATTTAAGAATTTAAACTTTTATCTTAATGTCAATTAATTTCTTCTGAGAGTTCTTTACAAAGCAAGTTATTTGTAGTAGTGTATGAGATATGATGATGTGTATTTTGGAAAACAAGGCAGATTTGAGAGACATTTTTAGGATTAAATAACAGGATACATAATTTGCTGGATATGAAACATGAAGCAGAATGAATAGTAAAGGATAATTTGAATAGTCCTATCTCGGACAAAGTTGATATTATTGAATTAAGTAAATTAGGAGCTGGCCTAAAGAAAGTGATAATGAGTTTTACATTGGCTATGTGGAATTTTGCATGCCATAGGGCATCTAGGGGGGTATGCCAAGGAGGCAGGTGGCTACATGAGGTTAGAGCTTAGAAAGAAGTAGGATCTAGAAATGTATTATCTAATATAATAAACAATAGTCACATGTAGATTTAAATTGAATTAAAAATTAATTAAACTAGAATTTTATTTTCTCAATTTCATTAGCCACAGTTCACTTGCTTAGTGATCACATATGGTTAGTGGCTGCTGCATTGATTATGGAACATTTTTATCATCACTGATGACACACATGGATGTTATCTTAACAGTATTCATGCTCGGGACAAAAAGCAAAATGGGAGGGGACAAAGGACCCAGGGTAAAGTGTTTCATGGAATCTACAGGAAGATAATATTGTAAGAAAGAGTTAATGTTCAAAAGCAAATCCACCCACCACATTGCACCCATTAGGATGGCTAATGTCAAACTACAAGACAAAACAAAGTAGAAAATATGTGTTGGTGAGGATATGGAGAAATTGAAACCTTTGTGAACTGCTGGTAGGAATATAAAGTGGTACAGCAGCTACGGGAAACAGCATGGTAGCTTCTCAAAAAATTAAAAACTAGAGCTACCACATAATCCACCAGTTCTGCTTCTGGATCTACTTCATGGTCCACAAAGTCTACTTTATGTAACCTACAGAATTGAAAGTGAACTCTCGAAGAGATAATTTGTACACCCATATTGATAACAGCATTATTCACAATAGCTAAAATGTGGAAGCCACCCAAGTGTCCAAAGATGGATAAATGGATAAGCAAAATGTGGTGTGTACATACAATAGAATATTATTCAGCCTTAGTAAGATAGGAAATTCTAACATTGCTATAACTTGGATATACTTTGAGGACACTATGTTAAGTGAAATAAGCCAGT